TAGGTTTTAACTCATCACCTTATACTATGACACTTTTAGTCCCTTATCTGTATGAATTGAAGAAAATAGCCCTCACTTAACATTATGTTATAATATTTCTATTAGTTCTATCAGTTAACTGTCAGTTCTGTTAGCTTACTGTTAATTCTGTTAATTGACTGTTAGCATCCGTTAGCATTCCGTTAGCATTCCGTTAATGAAACTAACAGATAAAATTGAATTTAAATTTCATATTTTTCTATAATGGAATGCTAACGGATGTTAACAGTCAACTAACATAATTAACAAAATGTTATAACCTGATGTTAGATTAGGGCTATTTTCTTCAATTCGTACAAGTGAGGGGCTAAAAATATCATAATATAAGATGAGGGGTTAAAACCCACTAACTTTGTAAGGTGAGGGGCTAAAACTTATCAACCTTGTAAGGTAAAGAGCCTAAAGTGTCATGTTATAAGATGAGAGGCTAAAACCTACCAACTTCGTAAGGTGAAGGGCTAAATGTTGGTTTTTGCCTAATTTCCATGTCTCTTTGTTTAATCGTAAAATTACAATATTGGTCCTCAACTTTCTAGATTTTTGCACTTTAGTTCTTAATTTCATAATTTTACAATTTGATCATCAATCTGTCCACCTTTGACTTTATGAAACATTGTGATTTAGTTCTTAGTTAAATCCTATTCTACACAAATAATGGAAATAATATAAAATCAAGTAAAATCATATTAACCCCATTTAAATATTAATAAAATCAAGGTTAATTTGCCTCATATTATACAAAAGTTTGACCTATTAATAATCATAAAGAAAATTAATAACTTTTGTACTGAAGTTTCATTAAAACTTTTGTTGAATTGTTAATACAAAATTTCTCTTGTTGAAAAAAATAAATAAATAAAACAAAAATGCAAACAAAAAGGAAGATTATGATGGTGATGGAACTTTCAAAGAAGTACAAGGGGTACTTTAACCACTAAGATGTAAATGTAAGTGAAAATAAGTAGAGATATAATGTGAAGGAGTTGTGCCACTTATGTTTTGGCCTAAAACATTTCTAATATAAACAATGGGAGATAGAAGGAAATTAGGGTAAAAAGAAATATATAATGACAAATGGAAATACAAATAGTGACTAAGAATAATATAAAAAAAAAAGGATAAGAGAGATGAAGGATTAATTACAAATAAATTATTAATATAAAGAGAAAAAAATAAAGGTGAGTGCAAGGTGAAAAGATAAATATTATGATAAAATGTGAGGGTAAACTAAAAGATTAAATCCCAAGAAAAGTAACAAAACGTAGAATAAAGGCAAGTTAAAATGCACTAAGATATTAATGCTAAGATGTTGCATATCTTTTCAGTTTTAATATAAAACTTTTCTAATATAGACAAGAAAGATAAAAAAAATTGGAATAAAAAAAAAAGAGATATACTGTCACGCCCCAAAACCCGAATTCGAGACGCGACAGACGCTGTGCACTCGTGAGAAGGTCCCACAAATGCATAAGGCTCGGAACTTATCCAATTCACAATCTGATACCACCAAAATCTCAAAGTCAAATATCTTGTAACTAACAATCCATTTAATGAATTTATAAAATCTCCAATTAAAATCCAGTTTACAAGATCATGATCTATATCTAAAATCTATATCAATCTCGAAATGGCTAGCCTTCTAACTCGTCACTTCCCGTGGTTTCCCCGTCCTCGATTTCGCTTCCTGAAATGGTGTACAAGGAAAACTATGAGATAAACTCAGTAAGTAAATATGGAGTGCCCTTAATTAAACTTATAGCATGCCAACAAGTGCAATCATGAAAAATGGATACAGTACGGGAATGAAATAGACGTCTCCTCTATAGGTCACGGCCAATGTTATAAACCTCCCACTGGCAAGCACACTATTTACTAGTGTATAATCCCCACTAGCAGAGTCACTTGAACGAACCGGTTCTATCACTAACATGTCGACATGTGCTAGCGTTTAACCCCCACTAGCAGGGTCACTAATAACATAACCACATCGGAGACAAAACAAGCCAAAGTTAACAGAAAAATCATAATTCACCAATCACTTTCAAATCATCAGGACAATCAATTAAACTTTCAAGTAGGCATGCTCAATTTAATGAAAAGCATAAACATTTCACTTCAAATCAATCATGCTCGTGTAAAACGGGTTTAGTCCCGCCACCGCTTCAAAAACAAATCAAAACATGCTTTTAAAAACTATACGAGCATTACCATAAATTTACTTACCTCACTCGCAAAAAACCAAAGACTCGATCTCAGTGTGCTAAATTGCTAGAACGATTAGGAACCTAATCAAAATACCCACGGATTAATTACCGTACTATTACAAATTCAAACTGAAATCATCATTAGGATCACCCCTAATCACAATGCTATTTCTATCAATCTCCACATGATAGATATCTCCAAATTCGTTCTTATATCACAAACTAATCATTTAAATCCCCGTTAATTGTTGACCCTCGGTGTGTGAACAGTAATATGTGAACAGTGACGTGAACAGTACCGTGACGTGAACAGTAACTCCAACTTCCAAAAATTGCCCAAACCACTAGCTAATTTCACGGGATTTTCTCAAAAAATCACACAGCAGTCAATTCAAGCAATTTCCACTTAAATTAAACAAAAACCCACTTAAATTAAGCTAAATCATGGTCCTAAAGCTATCAAATTCTTCCCCATTTTTCTAGCAAAATTCGGACATACACAGCCAGCAAACTAAATGAATAATTTAAGCCTTAAAAGGGCTGTCACATACCATAATTTAGCAAGCAAAACCGAGCTGCAGTTGGGAGAGAAGCCGGCGGCAAGTGCAGGGAAGAATCACGCAATCTACCCAAAAATTGGAGAACCAAGAGGAAATTAAGGTAAAACCAAGGCAATTCAAAGCTAGAGAAGGGAGATTCATGGCTATTTCTTACCCAAAATCAGAGAAATTCGCCCCCACAAAGCAGGAGCAGCCGGCGGTGAGGAGCAGAGCAAGGCAGATCCGGAAGCTTCCTGCAGGGGGAAGATTTTCTGGGTTCAATTCTGATTTTTAGACAAGAAAAGAAGGATAAAATCAAGCCTCCTTACCGGTTTCTCAAAGGCTGGCTGGGTTTCTTTTTTTTTTTTCTTCGGGTGGCTGCAACGGGAAGAAAGAAGAAGAGCAGGCGCGGGTCTGAGGAAGAAAAGAAAGGAAGAAAAAGAAAAAGAAAAGAAGCCATCCTTATCCAATTATTTTCCCTCTTTAAGTCCCTCAATTTTTGAAATATTCACATTAGGCCCCAAAACAGCATTTCTTTCTCAAATAAGTCCCTAACTTAATGCTAAATATCACAAAATTTTGGGATATTACATATACAATGATATGGGAGGAATGACAAAGGAAAAATAATAGAGACGAAATGATAATGGGAGAAAAATAATAAAAAATTAAACATGAATATAGAGATGAAAAGAGATGCATGGGAAGGTATTGTAGAGAAATAAATATAATGGTAGAATGTGAGAGGGAAAGTTGAGATATAGAGTCACAAGAAAAATTAATAAGTAATGGAGTAAAAGTAAGTGAAAAGGTATCAAGAAAAAAATGTTAATAAGCTGTGCCTATTATATTTTGGTTTAAAACATTTTTAACATTGATAACATGCAAGGGAGAAAAATTAAGGTGAAAAAAGAAATATATAATGATATCTAGATTTGCAAGAAATGATAAAAAAAAAAAAAAAA